AATACTGGGGTAATTTGATACAGCATATGCAAAAGCTGAACCTCATTGCTTACCTTACACTATGTACAAAAATTAACTCAAAATTGAGCATAGGTCTAAATGTGAGTGATAAAACTGTAACACTGCAAAAATATAAGAGAAATTTTTTATAGGCTTTTGTTGGGTTTTTTGTTTGTTTGTTTATTTTTTTGTACCAGGAATCAAACTCATGACCTTGTGCTTGCCAGGCAGGTGCTTGTGCCACTGAGCTATATCCCTGGCCCAAGAGAAATTTTTATGGACTGGAGATTTGAACTTCTTCAAAATAAAAAAATATTTGTTCTTCAAAACATACAGTTACAAAAATGAAAGGACAAGCAATATTTGTGAAATTATATTTAACATTTTACTAATGGGAAATAATTTTCATAATATATAGTCAATAAAATATAAATATTTAGAATATATGTAAAATAGATAATTTTTTATTAGACAGCTATGTTGTCTGAGCTGACCTTGAACTTGCTATATAGACCAGGTTGGCCTCTAACATGCAATCTTCCTATAGCAGCCTCCAAAGTGCTTGGGTTATAAGTGTGTACCACCACACCTGGCCATTAAATAACCAATTTAAAAGTAGGATTGTGCTGAGGATATAGCTCAGCAGCACAGCACGTCCCTGGCAAGCACAAGGTTCTGAGTTTAATTCCTGGTATCAAAAAAACAAAAAAATAAAAGATTGAGATTTTAAAAGATGCTTCACTGAAGAATACACATGGGTGGAAATGAGCACATGAAAAGATGTCCAACATAATAAGCCAGTAGGAAAATAAACAGTGAAACATAATGGCTAAAAGTTAAAAAGATATAACAATACCAAATGTTGATGATAAAGAGCAACTGAAACTCTTGTACATTGCTGGTGATAATGTAAAAAATAGTAGAATACTTAGCTTTTCCTTAAACCATTAAACATGTACTTGCCGTGCGATTCAGTGCTTTAAACCCTAGGCATTTATAACCTAAAGAAAATCAAAGCATGTGCCCATCCAAAGACTCATACATGAATGGTCACAATAGTTTTGTTTGTAGTAGGGAGAACTGCAGACACCCTAAATATCCACAACAGCTGAATGCATTGTGATGGTATGTCCATGTAATGAAATATTACTAAGCAATGAAAAAGAATGAACATGTTATGATAGTCTTGATTGTCAACTTGACTTGACTGAGGCACTAGGAGATTATATCTAGCTAGGGGTGGGGTGGTGTTGCCAAAGATGATGGCATTAGGCCATTACACTGAGGGGGCCCACTCTGAATGGAGGGTACCTCCCACAGGGTGGGAACCCAGAAAAATAAAAGTGGAAGAAGGAGAAAGCCAGCCAGGGCTTGAAAGCTAGATTCTGTTTCAGTAGGTCTGATTCTTGCTGCTGCCATTTCCATAGACCTCAGATTCCAGCTTCTTCAGTCCCTCAATGCAGACACATCAGCAACTTTCCAGGGAGTCTCTTCTCCCAGCCTTCAGCCGTGGACTGGGGCTACATCCTTGGTTCCTCTTGTTCTGTGACTTCCAGCTTCTTGGACTGAGCAGCTACTGGATTCTTTGGCTCTCCACTGTACAGATGGCCATTGTGGGATCATCCAACCTCTGATCCTGTAAGCCCACTTTCAGCAATCTCCCTTTATAACTTCACATATATACTCTTATGGATCTATTCCTCTAGAGACTCCTAACCAATCTACATGTTGTCCAACACTATGAACCAACTCTCATAACCATACTGAATGACAGAAACCAAACAACAAAAGAAGTACACACTGTAGAAACCCCTCAACATACAAATCTAGAAAGTGACAACTAAACTACAGTAGCAAAAGCTAGCAAGAGCTTGCCTAGAAATGAAGAGGAGGAACAGGGAGGGGAGGAAGGGATTACAAAGGCACGTGATGAAACTTTTGGATATCTTCTTTATCTTGATGGGGAAAATGGTTTCCTGAGTGTATTCATACATCAGAACTCAAATTAGCTAGGCATGCCAGGTGTAGTGGTGGATACCTGTAATCCCAGGGCTCTGGAAGGCTGAGGCAGAAGAATTACAAATTCAAAGCCAATCTTGGCAATTTAGCCATTTAGTGAGAACTTGTTTCAAAAGAACAATTAAAAAATCCTGGAGTTGTAGCCCAATGTAAAGGTTAGGAGTTCAACCCCCAGTACCAAAAACTAAAATAAAATAAAAATAAAAATTAGCCAGGTATGGTAATAGCTGTGTGAATAGCTGGTAATCCCAGCAATTCATGATGCTGAGGCAGAAAGATAGCAAGTTTTAGAACAATCTGAGTAATATACTGAGACCTCATTTCAAAAAACTCATCAAATTTTTATACGTGTAGTTTATCATATGTCATTATATTTTAATGAAGGAAATACAATGTACCTGTATAACAAGGTGATGATGGGGACCATTATGAAGCAGCCCTGAGCAGGACTTAAATTAATCAATTGGCTTTTTATGTTTACTTGTGAATCTGTCCAAAGCGCTAGGCTACTTGTCTGGAAGTGGGCAATGGACTCATAGTAAGAGAACCTCTGTGAGTCATTAACCCTTACTAAAACCTATAATGTCAGACAAAGCGTCAAAGGATAAGACAAGATCACAGCCAAGGACACCTGGATCCAATCTCAACTAGATAAAGACGATAGCCTCAGGCATCTCACTCCTGGGTCGGTTAATTTAATCCTTATTAAGGGTTAACTTAATACCTTACTTGGAGAAGTCCTTGAGTGATTCAGCCCTTCCTGAGTACTCCCCTCGCTTCTTCTGATAACCAAATAAATCCAGCCACCCAGAGAAAGTCTTGATCTTAGCCCTAAGAGAATCTTAAATTTGGTGAGAGGGCTTTGATTCTCCTGAAGCCCTGAAATCATTCCATTTGACTCTTTTTACTTAGCCTTTGCCATACACTCATTCAGGAGATTGTGGACCTGATCAGCCACAATAACTAAGGGATATATATATATATATTTTCTTTTTGAGCCAGGGTATCACTATTCAGACCAGACTTGAGCTCACTTTGTAGCCCTGGCTGGCCTCAAACTCACAACAATCCTCCTGCCTCAGCCTCCCGAGTGCGGGAATTATAGGTGTGCACTACCTTACCAGGTACTGAGGGATATTATTAACCTGATAAGGTGATTCTATTTTTTTCATCTATGACAAATATAAAGATCAAGTAGAATGACTGGATTCTGATTCAAAGGTGGCAAATGAAGCTTCTAACTTCAATTCACCCCAACCCTTCACCCTAAGCCCCCAAGTAATTACAAGAAAGGTTTTAAGACAGAGTCCAAACAGGATCAAAGAGGAGTGCTCTGGCACATCCCATTTTCACAAGTAACTTGGTGGGCAGGATTTACTTAATACAGTTGGTTGCTCCTTACTTTTCCTTAAGGCACTGGTCACTGTGGCTGGGTACCTGGGGCAGGTAGGAGAGGCAGCAGCGTCAGACACTGCGCACGCATGCGCCATCATCTCTACCTTTCTTTGGGGTCTGTCTGTGGGAAGGACGTTCTTCCACCCTGGGCGCTCCTGCACAGCTGCTTACCTAGTCCATTTTGACTGTGTAAAGCAGGTGCAAGTAAAGCTTCCTGAAATTGATAGTAGCAAAGGACCTCCAGGGCTATAAAAAGAGGAGGTGCTAGAGGGACAGCAGAAGGAGGTCCTTAGGTCACTGGGGGCATGTTCTTCTTGCAGAGGGCTGAGGGATCCCTAACTCTTCCTCTTTATGCTTCCTGGCTTATCATGTGCTGTCCTTGTTAGGGATCCAAACCCATGAGGTCACCTGATCTCAGACTGAACCCTCCAGAACCATGAACCACAATAAACCTTTTCTCTTAAGTTAATCACACTGAGTATTTCAGTATAGTGGTGGAAAGCTAACTGATACATATGCATGCCCAAGCTTAAATTGAATACAATTCAATACAAAAGTTTACATGGTGAAAACTTAATCTTCTTTCACTCACTTTTACCTTCCCCAAATTAAAGAGATCTAAAGATGTCTCAAATACTCTTCTGGGACAGTCGTGCATGTAACATTCTATTCTTTGCTTCTTTCTTTTCTTTAACAATATGCCCCATGTGTTTCTCATAGCCAATCATGCAGAACTTCCTTATTATTTTTAATAGCTGCACACTGATCCATATCACAAATGTATAGACGCCGGATGCAAATTAATACATACTTGTGGTTTCACTTTCATAACGTTCAAAAATAGGCAAAACTAAGCAACGCTTTGGGGAAAACGTCCAGGGCCTGCCTCCTCCAGCACAGGGCGCTCACCATGTGGTCGGAGATGCTGGGGCGCGGAAAAGACTTCTTTCAAGACAGGTAAGCTCCACCCTCTTCTGCAGGCGTTCCCTTTAAGAATGGAGTTATGACCTCATCCCGCGACTAGGCGCAGCCTACCTTGGCAACGCCCCACCGCTCTTTCGGGCGGCTTCTATTGGCTGGTCGGCCCCGCCCCCTTCTCGCGTAGTCTGTCCCAGCGCCCGCCGCCAATCAGGCCGCTGCGAGCGTTGATTGGTCGCTGTCGCCCCCCGAAAACCCCCTCCCCGCCCCGCCGGGCTCGCGTAGGCTGCGCGCTCCGGGGAGGGGCGCGGCGCCACGAGCAGTGCCCGCCGTCCTGTCTGACCGCCGCCGGTCCCTCCTGCAGCCCGCCTGCTGGGCAGGGCCGGCCCTGCCCGGCCATGGAGTCCTACGACATCATCGCCAACCAGCCCGTGGTCATCGACAACGTGAGGCCCTGCAGCCGGGGGGAGGGGGGCCCCGCCTGGCTTGTCCCAGCTCGCTGCGCGTTCGCCGCCCGCCGCACCTCGGTTCCAAGGCCGTAAAGGCCACCAGCTCCCGCCGAGGTCTTGGAGCCCCTGCCGCAGGCCCTCTCGGTTGAGATCGCAGACTCTGGGCAGGTGCCCACCCCAGCTACTTTGCTCACCTTGTCCTGGCTTTAGTCCCAGGTGGAAGTGGGCGCTGCTGGCCTGATGTTTTGGAGCGGTTGGCCCGGTGATCCCTAGGCTTCCCAGAGAGCTGCAAAAAAATGCAAGCTACTCTCCACCAGTCACTTACGCGCCACCACCTGCTTGGCCTCTTGGCTCCTTTGACCCTCTGCTGAAGTGCTCCCATGTGGAACAGAAATCTCACAGACGCCAGGGCAGTGGAGAGTTCAGGGCCATGCTTCCAGGACCGAGGAACAGTTTGGGGTAACTGTCTGGAAGCCTCAGGAAGATGTCCGACAGCCCATGGCTTTGTCCTTCAGCGCCAGGGCTCAGCTTGCTTGCAGCTGCCTTAAGAGAGATTTCTGGTCTCTGAGCCCTGACTTGGGGAGAAGTTAAAGCCTGGTGTCTGGCTATCCTTTTGCCCCAGCTGATCCCCCTTGGTGTGCAGGCCTGGGAGTCTTTGATAATGACTCAGTGTGTTCTTTTTGGGATCTGTCTGTTTCCCACGTGAGCCCAGTGGGGTCCCTGAGTGGCCATCTTTTTTGGAGGGCCCATGCAAGCTGCCTGAGTCATAGCAGGGGTGCTTAGCAAGGAGGCTAGAGCTGGGATGGAGAAGTGCCGTGAGACCAGCTCCCCAGCAGGCTGCGGGAAGGACAGGGTGGCGTCCCTTCAAAGAAATCACACGGGCTGATCAACAACTACAAGTTCTTGTAATCTGTAAGGAAGCCGTGAGGAGAGGTGGCCAGTCTTACCCTTTCTGCTGGGAAGCCAGGGGTTGGTGTGCACTGGAAATCAAGTCTGCAGAGGGGTTGCTTCTGGCTGTCTCTTGGGAGTCTCCTGTGCTGTGGATTCCTGCCAGGACCCAGCCCTAGAGTTTGCAGGGAAGGATGTACCTCATGGGCTCTCAGCCTCTACACTGTTGGCCTTGGGCTGGGTTCTTACTGGTCGTGCCTTTTAGGATGTTCAGCAGCATCCCTGGCCTCTATGCGCTGGATACCACTCGCGCCCTGTCCTGTTTCCCCTGGTCAGACAAAAGTTCCCCAGGGCAGGGGACGCAAAGTCGCCTCTGGCTTTGAACCACTGTTGGACCTGCAGGTGGGGATATGTCCTGGGCTGTGGTGGGGCCCCAGCTCTCTGCTGCTAGGCTCTGCCTTCATCCCGAGGTGAATGTCAGAAGCTGAACACTGCTTTTCCTTGCAGGGCTCGGGGGTGATCAAGGCTGGCTTTGCAGGAGACCAGATTCCCAAATACTGTTTCCCAAACTAGTAAGTGCTGCTGGGTGGCTGGGGCAGCAGCCCTGTCTGCTTTTGTTTGGTTCCGGGAGACTGGCAGCCCTGGGTAGCAGCTCTGTTATTGGAACACAACTCTTGGTCCCTATCTGTAAGGGAAAGCCCCAGATTTGTGAGGTCCACACTGTGGAGAGAATTTGGCAAGAACAAAAGAAGTGCTGTGGATTTCCCCTGTCCTCCTCTCCCTGAGCAGTGAGGGGGAGGCAGCCAGCTTTGCCCTGGGGATGGGGCGCATGAGAATAGAAGGGAGCTCTCGCCAAACTCTCCAGAGAGCCGGAAGAATAGGGGTAGGTGCATGGCAGCCTGTCCTCCTTGGAAATGCTTTTGTGCCCTTTTTGGTGGTAGGGCTTGAACCCAGGCCTTAAGAACGCTAGGCACATCCCCAGCCTCAGAAATGCTTTCAACAGCACTCATTCGTGACCAGATTCTGGAAAATACTGTGTTTCACTCTTGGGAGGCCTCTCCCTGTGTGATTCTGGCCACTGGAGTGTTCCTTGGGCCCCTCTAGCTCATGGGCAAAGTTTCTGTCATCAACACCGCTTCTCAAATCTTGGACACTTTTGATTGGTTCCCTGGAGGCCAGGGCAGAGCAGGACCTAAGGTTCCCGGACCAGCTGGCTCTGCAGAGAACTCAGGCCTGGTCTGGGACGGAGCCAGTATGGGACGCCCTGGAGGGCCTCAGTCTTCCTTGTGGAACTCTACAGCTCCTGTGGATGCAAGGAGAACTTGGGGTGCATCTTGGAAGGGTAGCTCTTCAGATCTTAACCCCAAGGACGGACTCTGTACCAGAGGTCCTGGCAGTGGGAAGGGGCAGCGTCCACTTCAGGGACATGTCCTCCCTCGGTCTCCAGCCAGCCTGCCCCGCCTGAACACAAGAGTATGGGCTGAGTCATTGTGGCTGTGGAAGGCTGACCCTCTGCCAGGCCTAGGCCGTGAAGGGCTGGCGTCCCGGAGTTCAGACACTCGGCCCTCTCTGGGAGACGATGTGTTCCTTTGACCCTGTCCTGCTCCTTCTCTGGTTCCGACCTTTGCCTGTGGCCGCGTGCTGCTGCTTTGGGGACCGGTCCCTCTGAGTTTCAGAGGCAGACTTCAGTGTTCCTGGACGGGAGCCCAGCCGCGGCCCTGCCCACCTCACTGACTTTGTGTCCCTGCAGTGTCGGGCGGCCTAAGCACATGCGGGTGATGGCCGGAGCCCTGGAGGGGGACCTCTTCATCGGACCCAAGGCAGAGGTAACAGGCACAGGGCCTCTCGCTGATGGCGGGCAGGGGGACGGGCCTGGGCCTCTGCTGCCACCTTCCTGGGCCCGCCTCATGCACCCGAGGCTCTCCTGCACGTGCACCTCCCCGCTGGGAGATGGGGGGCAACACTCCCGTTTCAGGGAGCGTGGTCAGACCTCCGCGTGCCCCGCCTTTTAGAGGCTACCTGGAAACGGCAGAGGAAAGAACTGAATAAAAGTGCTTTAAGAGAATCACCCAGACTTGATGCTGCTCTGACGAGGGCCATGAGGGCCACCTCTTGCACACCAGCCGAGTAATCCGTCTAGGGCCAGGGCCATACCTCAGGAGGAGCCAGCGTGGGGGTGGGGAGGAGCGAGCCCACTGGTCAAGTGCCACAGGGACGCCTGGGGCACACGGCCCAGTAGTGGGCCCGGAAAGGGGTGAGCTGGAGGGGCAGGTGTGAGGCCCCACGAATGAGGTCAGTGGGAGCCATGGGCAGGGGGTACAGAGGGCGAGAAGGGGCACACGCACGTCAGGGCAGTGTCGGTAAGTAGAGGCAGCATGTCCGTGACAGACAGGCGGGGACTGGTCGAAGCCGCACCCTACAGAAGCAGGAGGGGCTGTGCTGACAGGCGCAGGAGCCAAGGGCCCGGAGGGAGCTGGCAGTGCCAGAGGAGGGAGGGGGGAAGCCCCAGAGAGGCCGCGGGAAGAGGGCCTGTGGCTTGGGCGCACTGCCACTTTTTCTGGTCTCCGGCCAGTTGAAGCTGGCCGAGCTCTGAGAGCTCAAAGTGTGGTGGGACAGACGAGCTCCTTTTAGTTCCGGATGCACCCTGGAGCCCGGCGACACTCCGTGGGCAGGGGCGGCTCCCCAGAAGGCTAGCCTGGTGCAGAGCCCGCACCACATCTGGCTTTGCCCTGCCTCCAGGAGCACCGGGGGCTGCTGGCCATCCGCTACCCGATGGAGCACGGCGTGGTGCGGGACTGGAACGACATGGAGCGCATCTGGCAGTACGTGTACTCCAAGGACCAGCTGCAGACCTTCTCGGAGGAGGTGTGGCCGCAGCCCCCGCCGGCACCCAGCTCTTCCTTGTCCCTGTCCCTGCCTGCCTCCTCCTTGGCCTGCCACAACCCTCTGTCCACGGTACCCACACAGCCCTGGCAGCCAGGGAGCATCCGCCTTGGAAGAGGACGGGCTGGCCGGCCGGAAGCAGGGCTTGGGCTGGGCAGAGAGCCTCGCGGGCCAGCGAGTTGCTCACGGTGCGCCTCTCCTGTGTCACGCAGCACCCGGTTCTCCTAACGGAGGCCCCACTGAACCCCAGCAAGAACCGGGAGAAGGCGGCGGAGGTATTCTTCGAGACCTTCAACGTGCCAGCTCTGTTCATCTCCATGCAAGCCGTGCTCAGCCTGTGAGTGGCCGAGCCCTATCCTCCCTGCGGCTGTCCCGCCTGCAGTGAGCAGGAGCCCTGATCCCCTTGGTGACTGCTCCTTCAGGGAGCCCCACGCATCACTTTGTAGACCAGACAGTCCTGACAGCCCGGGGTCCCTTCCAGGGTGAGGTGGTCCCCGTGCCTCAGTGCTGAGGTGAGGGGATGCCGACCTGGTGACAGGTACGCGACAGGACGCACGACAGGAGTGGTTTTAGACTCAGGGGACGGGGTCACTCATGCTGTCCCCATCTATGAGGGCTTCGCCATGCCACACTCCATCATGCGGGTGGACATTGCCGGCCGGGACGTCTCCCGCTACCTCCGGCTGCTGCTGCGCAAGGAAGGGGCGGATTTCCACACGTCGGCGGAGTTTGAGGTTGTCCGGACCATCAAGGAGGTGATGGGGGAGCCCCAGGGCATGGGTACCACTGGGGATTGGGAAAGGGGGGACCTAGACACAGTCATCTGAGGTGTGTCCCCCACCCGCAGCGAGCCTGCTACCTGTCCATCAACCCGCAGAAGGACGAGGCGCTGGAGACGGAGAAGGTGCAGTACACCCTGCCCGATGGCAGCACGCTCGACGTAAGTGGCTGGGGTGGCAGAGACGCTGGCCTGGCTCCCGGGGAACCCGTCTGCCTCAGTCCTGTGCACCGCAGGTAGGGCCTGCACGCTTCCGGGCCCCCGAGCTGCTGTTCCAGCCGGACCTGGTCGGGGATGAGAGCGAGGGGCTCCACGAGGTGCTGGCCTTCGCCATCCACAAGTCCGACATGGACCTTCGCCGCACGCTCTTTGCCAACATTGTGCTCTCAGGTGGCTCCACGCTGTTCAAAGGTACGGGGCAGTTGGGGGCAGGTGCAACCCGGCCATCTCTGCAGCCTTTTTGTGGTACTAGGGATTGAACCCAGGACCTTTGCACTGAGCAACATCCTTAGCCCTTTTTATTTTGAGACAAGATCTGGCTAAGTTGTCCAGGCAAGACTTGAGTCCTGAGATTACAAGCATGCATCACCATGCCAAGCTCATTTCTGCCCCCTTTTTAATGGTACCTGGTGAGCTTGTTTTTAGAGACTGAGATCAGTTTTGGTTGATGTTGTTGTTGTCGTCATTGTTTATCGTTGGTATTTTGGTTTTTGAGACAGAGTCTTGCTATGAGGTCCACGCTGACCTTGAACTCAGTATGTGTAGGACTGAGTGGTCTCTCAGCGGCCCCTGGGAGAAAAGGACTAGAGGATTTAGAAAATAAAGACAAGAGACAATAGCTGGGGTCAGGTGGAGTGACCTCTTACCTGATCAGCAAGAGGACTGACTTCAACAGTAGGGGCATTTATTTATACTCTTGCGAAGTTAGTATCACGAGAGGTAATGTAACTGTCCAGGCAGGATGTTTTTGTCAAGACTGAGGTAGCTTGACTGCTTGAGGCACTCTGGCTCTGTCCCACCCTCACACATAGGACCCATTTCCAGCTCCAGCGGCTCCCAGCAAGTATGTAGCCCAGGCTGGCCTCAAACTTAGAGTGATCCTCCTGCCTCAGCTTCCTGAATGCTAGGATCACAGGCCTGCACCACCACACCTTTCAGTAGAGACTGAGATTTAAAATTAAATTTTGTTTACCTTTGGCCAGATTGGGTTAGCTGAGAGGTAAAGGTATGAGAGGAGTGACCATGATGAGGAGCAGGGGTCAGGCAGGGCCGTGTGACTTGCGGCTCCATCTACCATTGCCTGGCGGAGGTGTGGGGTGGTTTCTCCCCTTGGGCTGGCCCACCCTTCCCTTAATCCTGGAGACAATGGGGAACCCCCAAGGCTGGATCTGGAGGACTATGGCAAGGAGGCTGGATGTGGACCCCAGGGCCCCCCATTCTTGTCCATAGGTTTTGGGGACCGGTTACTGAGTGAGGTGAAGAAGCTTGCTCCAAAGGACGTCAAGATCAAGGTGAGTCACGGAGACCCCTGGGTGCCAGGTGCTGGCAGCCGCGCTGGGGGAGGAGGCCCAGCCCTGCCCCTCCCTGCTGGCCACACATCCTCCCTCCCGGCCCAGCCTGGCCCCAGGCAGAGGGTGGCTGCTGCGTGAGGACAGGGCAGTGACATGGCTGCTTGCCCCCCTAGATCTCTGCCCCTCAGGAACGCCTGTATTCCACGTGGATCGGGTAAGGCGGGGCCTGGGGAGGGCTCTGGGAAGAAGCTGCTTTGCCCTGGACTCCACCTGGGGCTGGCTGGGCCGGGGGGAGGATAGAGTCTCCCAAGGAAGGGCATGGGCTCGCTGAGCGCCCAGGAGACGGCCCACAGGTCCGCAGGAATGCCCCCTCTGTCCTCCCAGGGGCTCCATCTTGGCCTCGCTGGACACTTTTAAGAAGATGTGGGTGTCCAAAAAGGAGTACGAAGAGGACGGCTCCCGTGCTATTCATCGAAAGACCTTCTGATGCCTGGGAGGGTGGAGTGTGTCCTGAAGACAGGAGGACGGGGAAGCAGAGGCCTGGACCCTTTCTGGTCAGGGTCGTCTGCATGCCCTGAGCCCTCAGGCAGGCACTGCCCTGCACACACACATGCACACACACACACATATGTACGCACATGTAATTTTTAGCTGCATGGATGCGGTCTCCAGCTGGAGCTGAGGCTTTGAGGAGCCCGTATTGGGCTGCTTGGGGCGTCTCCCTTGTGGACCGACTTAGGCCAAGGGTTCCTCGCTCTGACTTTTGGAACTGCTTCCCCGAGCTCCAGGACCAGACACCCAAATCCCCCAGTTCTCTGGCAGGCGCCACGCTGGGCCCTGGGGACCGTGCTAGAAAGGGGCAGCCAGCAGTGCAAGCAGGGGCAGCGGGCACGGGTGCATCTTACACCACTGCCTCTGCCCGGGCCCACGGCCACCCGCACCTGTGCACACGTCCCCAGCAAGGGCTGTGGCCTGGGGTCCGCCTCAGGTGCCGGGGGCAGCCACAGCACGTGGCCTGTCACCCTTCCCCCTCCAAGCACGGCAGTGGCAGCCGCGCGTCTCCCTGCCCCATACCCTGGCCCAGAAGGGTTGTGGTCTGTGCTGTTGGAGGGGAGCAGGGAACGAGTCAGGCGGGGCTGAGCAGGGCCTCCTCCCTCCCCAAGGACGGGGTCTTCGCTGTGGTCGGGCCCCACCTCGCTCTCCAGATGTGTCCCATAACTTAACACAGCTGCCTGAAAAAAACATTCTTTTATAAATCATTATAGTAATAATTACGGACAAAGCCCAGCGTGTGGCTGTTTTCTTGTGGCTCTGGGTGCAGTTGTTTACTCACCCGTCCCTGGGGGCTTTCAGAGAAAGGCGCTCAGGGAACAAGGCAGGACTCGGGCTTGAGCTTGGAGCCTGCGATTTCGGTGGTTGGCAGGGCAACGTGGCACCAAGGCCCCAGGAGGCTGAGCTCACCTGCACCGCATGCCCAGCCCTGGCAGCCCGTCCCGCCTCCCCCTGTGGACAGGGCTGGGTTCGTCGCATCGTGCTCTGTCGGGACACCTGCGCCAGGCAGCTTGACACCAGCAGGGTCGCAGGCTCCTTGGCTCAGGAAGAGGGCAGGAAGTGATGGCTGTGAGGTGGTGCTGGGGCACAGGCGCTGCCCAGTGAGACGAAAGGAGCTGCTCAACCATGGTTGGCCATGTGAGCACCTACAGCATGTCTGCCAGGGTCCTTATATTTGGGGCCAGTGGTGAACAAGATACATTCTTGCCCCAACAAATGGACAGCTCAGAGCCGGCACAATGGCACACACCATTTCAGCACTCAGGAGGCTGAGGCAGGAGGATCGCCAAAAGTTTGAGGCCAGCCTAGGGTACACAGTTCAAGACCAGCCCGGACTATATAGTGAGAGCATGCCCCCCACTTCAAATAAAATAAAGGGACAGGTCAGAGGAAGAAGGCACAGGAGCCATTTCAGTGAAGACCTGCAGGGGCCAGTGGGATGGGCATCAAGCCAGCACGTGAGCAGGCTGAGTGGCAAGGACCTGAGGTGACCGGGGAGGGCACCAGGTGACGCGGAGGAGGGGAGTTCCAGCAAAGGTCGAATCAGGGGAAGGGCAGGGGACAAGCCAGAGTGGGTTGGGCTTGGGGGTGGTGGTCAGCTGTGTCCTGGGTGGGTGGATGGATGGTGACAGCGAGTGTAGAGACCTAGGACAGATCAGCGAGCGGCTGAGCGGCACGTCCACGGGGCCTGGTCATCACGTGGTGTCAGCTTGCAGGGAGCACCCCACCTCGGGGACTCCAGCCCAGCAGCACCTCTTCCGGCCGCCCTGGGCTGGGCCTCCCGCCGGCTCCTCCCACTTCCTGTTGTCAGCTCTACTGTCTGCGGCGCTTTCCCCAGCCCTGCTTTGCACACGGCCCGCCTCCTCCCTGCCCAGGCCACCTCCTCCTGTTCGCGCTGCTGAGAGGCGTCTGCAGCCTGGTGAAGAACCGAACCGGTGCGCGCTGGGAGCTCGCCTGCCAACAGGGAGTGACGCGGGCCAGGCAAGGACCAGCACTTTTGATCTCTGTTTTTCGAAGCTGAAAATTTGCCAATTAGATCTTATTTTCAGGGAAAGGCGATAGTAGTTGCAGGCAAGAGTGAACACAAAATTTAGTGGGCAGGATCAAGGCTATTTGCGTAATCTTTGTGTCTCCCCACAAGATACTTATTAGTTACTGGTCAGCTTACTGCAGAGAAGCTTAGTAGACACCACCTGGACCAAGTGATCAACATGCACAGCAGTAAGAAGGCATTCCCCTGCAGATGCGCTAGGGGGCGTTTCACCTTGGGATTCTTGCAAAACCTCAGTCTCACCAGCAGCCGGCAGCAGGCAGCCCCGAACTAAAATTAACAGATGAGTTCTCCAGTTGGAAGGTGATGGGTCAGGAAGACAGAAGCACAGAGCGCGACGTGAAGTCCCAGGAAGCCAGCACAACCCCAGGAAGAGCTGCTGATTAGTTAATACCACTGTACCGATGTTAATTCCCGGGCTCCAGCAATAACACTGCAAACTGGGTGAAGAGTACATAGGAACTATTTTTGCACCTTTTCTCTAAGTCTAAATTATTTTAAAATTGAGGGACAAGAGGGCTAAGGCTGCAGAGCTAAGTGGCTTGAACTTGCAATCCTGCTTCCGAAAACTTCTAACTGTAGAGACCTGAGATTCCCCAGTTCCTAAGTCCCTAAGACGGGAGTGGTCAGTGCATTAACCTGGTGGCTCCATCATCACCTCGGAAAATGAGCTTGGAACATTTTGTGTCCAAAAATAAAACAAATGCTGTGAGAATGAGAGGGACAGGTTCAGAGGTCACAGGAGCCAGCTCAGAGGCTCGGCTGCCCAAATGGGAAGAGATTAAACATCAACAAATAGTCATGGGTGAGAAACCACTGAATACATCCATACTGATGTAAATTAACACGTTGGAAGTCTGGTGAGGAACAAGGTATTGCTGATATATCGTTAATGAGGTGCACACATGTAATCCCAGCACTCTGAGAGGCTGAGGCAGGAGGGTCATAAATTCCCACTCAGGCCAAGTTGAAACTGAGCAACATAGTGAGATTGTCTCAAAAGGGAAAAAAAGGACTAGGAGTGTAGCTCAGTTTAATACCCAGTGCCAGAAAAAGAAAAAGGAGAAATTTCCTGATTTTGATGAGTATAAATCAAGGGAGGGGAGGGAAAAGTAAAAAGAATTAAGATGTATTATGTAAATGAATTTCTCACAATAAATGCAGTTATTTAAAAAGTTTTTTATTTTTTTGTCTTTCTGAGACAGGGTCTTGCTATGTGGTATAGGCTGGCCTTGAGCTCACTTTGTAGCCCAGGCTGGTCTTGAACTTGCAACGATCCTCCTGCCTCAGCCTCCTAAATGCTGGGATTACAGGCATGGCCACCATGCCCGGTTTAAAAGATTTTTTTTTAAAGAAAATGTCAGTCAGGTGTGGTGGCGCACGCCTGTATCCCAGCACTTGGAAGGCTGAGGCAGGAGGATCCTTGTGAGTTTGAGACCAGCCTGGGCTACAAAGTGAGCTCAAGGCCAGCCTGAACTGTCTGGCCCTCGAGGTTCCTCAGAGGCTTCTGGTGCTGGGAGGGTTGAGGTTCTGCCCTCGGCTGACCAGGTCAAGACCCTGTCTCAAAAAGACAAAAAACAAAAAAAAAAAAAAAAGAAAATGGCTTAGCCAGGTATAGTGAGGTACGTTTAAATCTCAGCTACTCAGGACTCTGAAGCAGGACCACAAGTTCAAGGCCAGCCTGGGCCAATTAGCAAACACTGTCTCAAAATAATAAAAATGATTGGGGATGTAGCTTAGTACAGCACTCACTCAGCATAGGCACTACACACAAAATGTCTCTTTAAGAAATACTATAAAGACAGGTACAGAGGCACACGCCTGTGATCCCAGCCACTCAGGAGGCTGAGGCAGTAGGATTATGAGTTTGAGGCCAGACTGGGCTACATAGTAAGACCCTGTCTCTTGACAAAAACAAGAGAGGGACAAACTCACACTTGAGTGGGATTTCCGACAGGTCCTTATACCAGCAAATTATTCTCAAGCAGTCCTGGAAAATGTTCTTTATTCAGTACTTGCAGATAGGCAAATGAACACCATCAGTGAGACCTGTATCCTTTTGTGAGGGGCAAAGGGACCCAATTCCTGTGCTGCTGAGCTGCCAGTTTCAGAAAGAGCCCAGGGGCCAAGGTTTGGTCCTCCTGGTGGCGATGCCACACTGCCTCGCTGCCCACAGGCTGCCATTACCAAGGCCTGCAAGTGAGGGGTTTAGGTTGACCTGGTCAGCCGAGGGCAGAACCTCAACCCTCCCAGCACCAGAAGCCTCTGAGGAACCTCGAGGGCCGGACGTCCGGGTCCCACCTGAGGACTGTTGCAGGGATCTGGGCCGGCGTGACCCGGGAGTGGGCCAGGATCCCAGGTGACTACAGCGCAGCTCACATGAGACTGCTCACCCTGGAGTAGAAGTGCAAGTTCCCAGTCTTAGTTTCTTACTGCCACTATAAAAAGTTACCACAAATTGAGTGGCTTAAAACCTAACTTTATTAACTTAAAAGGTTGTCTGGAAGCCCAACCTGGGCCTCACAGGGCTGAAATCAACGTGTTAGCAGGGCTTTGATCGTGTCTGGCGACCTCAGCAGACAATCACTTTGCCTTCCCCAGCTTCTTCAAAGCTAGCGGTACTACATCTCTACCCCTTCCTTAAGCTCATCAGGACCACCTGGATAACCCAAGACCATCTCCCCGTTTCATGTTTAAGACAGGGTCTCACTGTGTAGCCCAGGCTGGCCTCCGACTCATGGCAATCCTCCTATCTCAGCCTTTTGAATGCCTGGAGTGCAGGTGTACACCACCAGGTCCAGCTAATGAAAAAATATTTTACAAGAAAAAAAAAGTGAGAACTTGTCTAGAGAATCATAAACCAGACATGGTGGCACTTGCTTATAATCCCAGCACTTGAGAGGCTGAGGGAGGATTGCCATGAGTTGGAGGCCAGCTTGGGCTACACAGTGAGTTCAAGCCCAGCCTGAGCTACATAGCAAGACCTTGTCTCAAAAAAATAGAAACCAAAAAACCGTAAATATCACAAATATTCCAAAATTGACCTTTACAATTTTCCCCCAAGACGGAGTCTTACTGTTGTACAGGCTGACCTCCAACTTTCATTCAACCCTCCTGCCTCAACCTCCCAGGTAGCTGGGATTACGAGCTCCCACCACACCCAGTTCAATTTTCCTTTTTTTTTTTTTAAGCTGGGAAGGCAGACTTTACTCAAAATGAGCCACACACAGAGACATAGAAAATGCTGCAAAGGGGCCTTGCAGTCACGCAGGAATTGGACTCAACTCCTACAACTGTTTTAAAATCAAGACCCAAACAAGGTGTACCAGTTGTGTTTGGTTTTACTCTATAGGTTTTCCTTAGTTTTTTGTTTTTTTTCTCTTCTCTACTCCTTACAGTTTGTTTGAAGAGACCTGGTCTTTCAGTTCTGACAAAGTCCCACACTGACCTGCTGCAGGTGTTTCCAGGAACTCTTAGTTTGAATCTGGTCCCTCAAGATTTCAAAGTCCCCAAAGCTCTTCTCACAAAACCACTTTGTGCCAGAGGTGGATGTGGTGGCACAACGCCTGTAAATCTCAGCACTAAGGAAGCTGAGGCAGGAGGATCACTACAAGTTTGAGGCCAGCCTGGGCTACATAGGAAGACCCTGTCTCAACCAAAAACAAACCACTCTGTCCCTATGATTCTGTGAGAGGACCTACTATCAGCCAGGATCTTCACACATATATAACCTCTAATACCTCACAAGGTATTTATCTTTCTTGAGTAGCTGTAACTGGACAGAGAACATACCCACAGGGACACCACCAAAGGACAAATGACAGCACCAGTATCCTAAGTCCAGTTAGCCTGGGCCTGGAGCCCATCCTTCTGCCTGTCCCTGGTGGTCATGATCACTGCATTGTGCGCTGTCAATCTATTTTGATTCTGAGGGAGGCAGTGCTGGGGCTAGAAGCCAGGGCCTCCATGCTAAGCACACGCCCCACCTCAGAGCCCGGTCCCGGCCCGCTTGTCACTAAAGTAAGCACGGTGCACTGCTTGTACACTCTGGATCACAAGCTCGCATGAATAGACAGCTACTGCCAGTACAATTCCCCATGCCTACCCCCAAATACAGAAAAGACCGGCCACCGAGGGAAGGAGCTGAAGCCCAGCTCGTCTTTATTGGAAAGAGATTTTACAGCATATTCCGGGGGAGTCCGTGGGGCTCAGTGGGGCAGCTCGTAGGGCACCAGCTTGTAATGGGCTCCACAGCTCGGGCACCGCTGAGCCTCGCCTTTGTGCAGCCAGAACCAGACGACAGCGCTGTTGTCCTCTTCACCTAAAAGGACAAGAAGACGGCTGAACGGCATCGAGCAAGAAAGGGAGACTTTCAATGTCAACCTCTTTCTGTGCTACACTTTTGAGACAGAATTCCAGCTATGGTTGACATCTTCAGAGGACAAGCTCTTCTCTTTCCGATCAAGTGGGGGCCCTGCCTTTTACAGAGGAGTAAGCTGACCTTACCTCAGGGCTCTGTACGTTCTAACAATTCCCTTGCCTATGTAAAATCCCAAAGCAAGGTCCATACCGGTGTTTCTCCTCAGCGCCTATACAGTGCCTGGCGTAGGAATCAGTATTATCTGGATGAACACCCTTCATGATACCCTTCCAAAGGGCCAGTCTTGTTGCTCGCCCATGCTTCCAGTAAGGACGACACACACTCACACAACAGGAGGCTTGAGAGAGCCAGAACCCATGGACAATTTATTTATCTACACTCTTTTTCATCTATACTCTATACCAGTCACACTCACGACTGGAAGCCGCCAGTAAGCATCCCATACAACAGGCTTTATTAAACAAATGCACAAAGGGGCTGGGGATTTAGCTCAGCGGCAAAGTGCTTGCCTGGCAACTTCCTGGTACCGGAAGAAAAAAAAAAAAAAAACATAAACAAATGCACAAGAAAACACAGACATGAGGTACTTACAGATGCAGCCCACGATTCGTTTGTTGGTGATGGACGGGACTAAGTTAGGGTCTTCCTTGGTGCCCGAAGCCCCCTTTGGGGCTAGTATATTGTACGGATCCTGAAATAAAACAAGCACTGAGCCAGGACGCCAAGCTACTCCGGTCCCTGCAGAGGCACAGCGCTCTCGATCGAATGCTCCCAGGGAGCCTCCGCTGATCCCATCCAGGACCACAGCTCCACCGCGATCACAGAAGGGGCTTTCTCCTCACCAGTCCCTTCTGGGCCGCCAGCATGACCTTCCTCTCCAGGCCGGTCGCCTGCTCTTCATCAGTGGGGATACCGCCTAAAGGAAGACAGGTGAATTATGTCCGATGACATCAAGATTTTTTTTAAAAAAATACACACTGAAATGACCAGGGTGGAAAAGGCCACACGCAGACTTCTGCTTAAGCTTCAGGGGGAGCACGAACTCAAGGCTAGCCATCTCATGGCCCCCCAAGGACCTGGGTCACGACCCCCCAAAGCGGCAACACGCAGGGAAGCCTCTCTTCTCCACCCACCGAGGCCAGCGTCTTAACATCTTTCCAAAAGCAGGCCGACCGCGCTCGAAGCGAGCGAGAGACTAGGCGCCGCCCGCGCCCCCCATCCCGCTGGGCTCCCTGGACCCCTTGGGGAAGGTCACTGCACAGCCGCTGTGAGGACACGTCCGCACCGGCGTCTGTGTGTTGGTGCGCGGCGGCGGCGAAGCCGAAACCCCCAGGAGACGCTTGGGGTGCCCGGCGCCCGGGGGTGCTCCGGGGCCCCAAGGAGCCGCACGGCCGCCCCGCTTCGCTGTCCCCGCAGCAACCATGCTGGGGCGAGTGGGGAACAAAACGCCGGACTTCGGCGCGCCCTACGGGCGAGTACCTCCGGAAGCCATGGAACGGACGGCAGCCACCCCGCTAGGGCAGCGGGCCCTCAGGGCCTGCGCGGCCAGCGCTCCAGCTCCGCGAAGTAACCTTGAAGCCATCACACCCGCTACAACCAGCGCCACTTCCGGAACAGGCTCCGGGGGAAGGCGGGACTTCCGGGGAGGGACTTCTCTCTCCCCGCCTCCGCCTTTCTCTTCCTCTCCTCCTTGGGCCCGCCCACTCACGTGACTTCCTTGGTGGGCGGTGCTGCGCGAGCCTACCTCTTCCGCTTCCGGCGCCGCGGAGTCTCAGAGTTTGGGGCTCCTAAGTGTCTTAACCAGGGTTTGGGGCGTGTGTGTGCTCGTTTTCTGTCCCTAGGACTCAATATTCCAGCGTCGATAGAGTTCTTGTCTGTCTGGTTTGGTAGCCATGTTCAACAAACGTGGAGGCTGCTAATGGAGGCCAAGTCTGCATCTATAAAGGCGCTTGCTGGACCGCAAATGACAGACTTGGGAGTTGGCTCCTGAAGACCACTGTGCTCATTGTCAGTCTTATTGCGAAGCTATTTCCCTGACACTGCTTGAGGCATCGCGTACTTGTGGCTTCGGCCTACCAGGGCAGAACTTGAACACAACGCCTGCAATCTCCGCTTTCGGGAGGCTGAGGCAGGAGGAGCATTGCGAGTTCCAATCAGCCTGTTCCAAACATAGCGAGACCATGTTTTTTAAAAAAAAGGAGCTTGAACTGAACCTGCCCGCAATCCTAGCGTCAGTGTCCTGTTAACAGTTGTACTGGACGGTGGCCATCCCGACCTTGAGTGGGTCACACATGGGCCCCCTCCCAGGACCAGAGCCCTTGGTGATGTCGGGGCGGACAGGGCAGTGCACTCTGAGAGGCTGGTAACCAAGGACCGTTTAGGAGGAAGAACAGGAAGGGGAGTTCACATGTGGCCATTAAACTCCTTCTATGGCTCCCCACTGCCCGCAGGCAAAACGTGGAAATTTCTTGGCAGGGCGGGCACTTGAGAACCCTCGATCGCTGTCTCCATCAAAGAGCACGTTGTTCTCACTGTCAGTACATCCCTGAGACATCTCAGCCAAGCTATATCTGTGTTTTCCTACCTGTTGGCGAGTCCCTTACATTATGCTGTAATTGTTAAATCTTCGTTGCCCTGCAGAGGCCTGACATAGATACAGGAGGATCAAGTGACACTTAGTAAATCTACTAGATAGAATGTGCAGGGTTAACTTACAGGGCTTCTTCTGGCCCAGTGAGGCCAATTTGAGGCACACTGGAGAGGATGAACTCCCCTGTGTCCCCAGTTGTCCTATATCAGGTTACAACGTTTTCAGAAGGGCCTGGGGGACATTCCTTTGTAGGAGCACACCTGATCTTCAGAGTGCCCATCTGCCGTGAAAGGACATTGTCTATTCTAAGGCCTGAGATGTCTTGTTCCTGGTTGCAGATGGCACTTGCCCTTGTCAGAATAAATGCACAGTGCAGGAAGTCAAACGAAACAAGTGTAAGGGAAAATGTGCATTTTTCCTTTCTCAGGCCTGGGATTTCTCAGCCTCAGGACAACTGACACCTTGGGCCTGGAAATTCCTTGCAGGGGAAGCAGTGAGGCTGCCCTGCCTGCATTTAGAGTATAGTAGGACTTCACTGGCACTCCCCTGTGAGCCTGAAAATGGGGCACAGACCTGTGAGCCCAGCAGGCGGGAGGCTGGGGCAGGAGGATCACCATGACAGCCATAATGAGTTCAAGGCCAGTCTGAACTACATAGCAAGACCCTGTCTCAAAAACAAATAAAAAATTGAAGTTTGTGTACAAAATAAAAAAATATAACTTATTATATATTTTTTTTTACTCGACAGTATTTTTGAACATTCCTGCAGATCAAAACATAGATCTAACTTCATATACAGTGGACCCTTGACTTACGAACTCAATTCATTCATGAGGGCTGGTTGTAACTCAAGTAGGTTGTAAGTCAAGATGACTTTTCCCATAAGAAATATTGGAAATAGGGGGCTGCAGATTTAGCTCAGTGGCACAGCGTCTGCCTGGCAAGTGCAAGGTCGTGTGATTCCCGGTACCGGAGAAAAACCAAAAAAAAGAAATATTGGAAATACCCATAATGCATTCTGAACCAGGCTTTTGTATTAGACCTCCCCATGACCCCTCGCCTAGTCTTCATGACTTTATGTTTTCTCAATACTCTCAGTGTCTCAGAGTGATAAACCAAGACAGGTTTTACCTTGAGGTCACCACTCACATTGGCACATTGCAATAAGGTTAGCCTATCCTTCGTAGGCTTTTGATCTGGAATTTTCTTCTCTTCTTGGGTAATGTGTGTTCTCCTGGGCTTTTTCTTCCTGAAAAGGCCAGTTCCATCCCAAGCACAAGCTCGGGGAAAAGGGCAGAGGGAAGCTATGAAGGACAAGTGATCAGTTAGGGGCGTCATTCTGCCTGGGACAACCCCCTGGTCACATAGTTCAGGACCTATGTCACTAGTACACTCAGTTCCTGCTCCCTTTCCCAGTGGTACCCAAAGTGCTCAACCATTTATCCTCTGGGTTTTTCCTTTCCGGGGATTTAGCACTGCCTGGGGATGCTATGGCAGCTTGTGACTATCACCCAGGCTGAGCCCTGGAGCTTCTCTTACCCCCGGCCCTGCCCACCTTGAGTTTCACTGAGGAAACAGAGGTCACAAGGACTCACTCAGCCTCTGTCCCCTCTTCTTCCTCTCCAGCTCTGCCCTTGGTCTTCAAGGAAGCGGCCCCTGAAGGCCTCTCTCACCACTGCTCCTTTACCTGCCAGATCAGCTCCATCCTGGGGCCTCAGGGACACTGAGCATCTTGGCCTGTTTTCTGATTTTTCTGACACTATCACAAGTCCACATGATTTGTAAAAAGGTTTAAGCCAGTTGTGATGGCACATGCCTGTAGTTCCAGACTCAGGAGGCTGAGGCAGGAGGATCACCATGAGTTCAAAGCCAGCCTGCACTACATTGTGAGACCCTGTTAGCTCACAGGTCCAGACACTGGAGGAGCTAGGTTCTGTTTGGCTTCAGTGAGGACCTCATGATGATGGGAATGTTATAGTCAGCCAAGTTAGATCAAAATTAATAAACGTACAGATGGGAATGGGCCCTCGAGTGTGCAGAAGAAGACTGGAAAACTGTGGCTGGAGGCGCATCTAGGAAGGCCAGGCTTCAAGATGGAGACCCAGGGACTGGGGATATAGCTCAGTGGCACAGTGTCTTCCTGGCAAGGGCAAGGTCCTGAGTTTGATTCCCAGTACAAAAAAAAAAAAAAAAAAATGATAGAGACACAATGGCCTGGCCTCCAGACCTCCCTAAGAAATAAACAGCAACTTGAGATTATACTGTGATCAGCACTCTCTGGTCAAGTCCAGAGGCACCAGACACCTGGATGGGTGACCAGAACATCTGGACTCATCCCTTTCCAAAAATGCTTTGTTCTTTCTATGTCAGAAGTTACAGATAAGCTGAGGTTCACGAGCTCGCCATATACCCTTGCCATGTGCCTCGAGTCCCTATTGGATCAGCATTAGCTGAGCAGCTACACTGTAATCCTATTGGCTGATGGGAGTGTGACCCACACTGTCCCCACCTTGTGATTTTTCTCTGCAAACTATTCTTGGAGAAAAGAGCCCCTGTAGCAACCACTTCAGGCTTCCTCTCCTGCCTCTCAGGAACTTTCTCTTAATAAACCTTTCCTACCCTTAAACTCCTTTGTTCCTTGGAATTCATCCTTCAATATTGGGGAGCCCCTGACAAGGCACGTCTGACGTTTGACAGGTTGGGAGTTATTTTTCCCCCATCCCAGCTTAAGAGCCCAGTGAACTCTTGATTGGATTCTGGACTGTGACTCTTTCTGGGAATCAAGAATCGTCATCCTTCGTTTGTCAGTCGCATATACCTTGTGTTTTGTCAAAATGCTAACAGGCTTATGCTGAGAGCATGGAAAGATATCATATTTGGGTTTCTTTGGTGGACACTTTTATTTTTGCAGCAGGTCCCCTGTATTCCTTTCTTGACTGGTTGGGCAGTTAGGAGCGGGCTTGGTCTTTCGTCGGGACAGCTCTTTGGGGATCAGGTTGCAGCTTGGGCTCCTGGGCATGCCTGAAGCTCCCCGACAGGTTATAGCAGTTACTCTGTCAGGGGTGGTTATCAGTATCAGCAAGTGGTCCTCTGCTTCCCTTTGCAACCCTGAGAATCCTTTTCCCTTCCCATGGAAGCTCCTGAACCCCTAGAAAATGAGTACTCATCTACAAGTGCAACAAAGATAGCATCCTTTTGCAGACTAATCCCTCCCTGGGTTAAAGGGACCCTGAAGTCCTGCTCAACCAGGAAGACACACAAAAGGGTTTGGGCCAAGCTGGTATCTGAGCTGGTGTTTCTCTCGTGACCAGCAGGACCAGCAGGACCAGCAGGAGAAACTCCCATCCTGAGACACAGTGGAGAGAACTGATCTTGGGTAACACCAGGGAGAGCTGCCTCCAAAAGCACACATATTTAGAAGCCCTGAGCAACAGAGCTTAAAGGGGCATCTCCAGTCTGCCCTTGATTTCCCTCCCTCTCTCTCTCTCTCTCTCTCTCTCTCTCTCTCTCTCTCTCTCTCTCTTTCTGTCTCTCAGAATAAAAAGCAATCATTCAGGTCCCTTGATTATTGGTTTAATTTTCTGTTTGGCACTACTTCCTTTCTTAAACAGGGCTGAGATAGTGGCATTCAACGATAACTTTTTGCTTAAAGATACTTGCTCTGGAGTTGGAAATGTGCATACAGAAATGGCAAATCGAGAAAGTAGGCCTATGCATCCGGGAGCGTGGCTCCGCCGGCCCAACCTGTGTGCTGACCACTCTCCAGTTAACCGCCGCTTTCTCTGGAGCAGGGACACCTCAGGGGACATCCAGAGAGCATATAGAAACAAAGAAGGACTTAAAAGGGACATCTCTCCTCTTTGTTGTTGCATTTTTTTTAATTCTCTCATTTTTATATTTTTAAAAATGTTTGTTTTTTGAGCCAAGGTCTTGCTATGTATGTTCTCTATGTTCAACCTGGCCTTGAACTCACTTTGTAGCCCAGGCTGGCCTCAAACTCTCAACAGTCTTCCTGCCCCAGTCTCCTGAGTGCTGGGAGGCTGGGCACCATT